CTCGCCTGGATGTGGGGCTACGGTGGGCAGGCGGCGGCTGCCGCGCATGACTCTCGACTCCTGTAGCTCCTGGGTGTTTCTTGCGATGAACTCCTGAGGGTTTGGTCTTCCTTGCCTTGTACCTTCCTGAGGGAAACGTGCCTGGAAGAACCCCTCCAAGTGGTGACCGAGCACCTCCCTCGCGACCTTGGCAAAGTCGGTGGCTTTCCAAGAAAGAGCCCCCGAGCCCTGCCTGAGGAGGCCACCGGGCGCGCCTTCCTATGCAAGACAGGGTGGCGCTCCCTGATTGGGCACAGATCCTGACGCAACACCTCCGGAGGCCCCTACCTCCTTATGGCTTGGGCCAGGTGAAACCTTCTTCTTCTTGGGGGTCGCCTCGGGAAGTCTTCCGTTCCTGTGGTCCGGGTCTTCGATTGCTGCGGCTTGGAACGCGCGCTCAAGTGAACACACTGCGTCCCTTTCTTCACAGGGTACGGTGATGACTCCACCGCTTCCTGGCATCTTGAGGACATTGTATCCATGGTGAGTCATTGCCATGAACTTGGCCAGGGCTGGGTACCCGAGGATGGCGTTGTATGGCAGACTGATGTGGGCGACGTCGAAGTCGATGAGCTCGGTGCGATAGTTGTTGCTTTGCCCGAAGGTGACTGGAAGGCGAACCTGCCCTATTGGAACAGTGGAACCATCAGTGACTCCTGAGAAGGGCTTGGTTGGTTGAAGCTGATCGAACGGCACTTGGAGATTGTCGAACATCTCGATGGACAGGACATTGAGTCCTGCTCCGCCGTCAATGAGGGTCCTGGTGACCTGCATGTTGCTGATGATCGGGGAGCAAAGCATTGGGAGGACTCCAGACATCGCCGCGCACTTGAGCTGATCCGCTGAGCTGAACGTGATAGCGCACGTAGACCACCTGAGAGGGCGCGTCGCCTCAAGCTTGGGGAGGACTGCATTCACCTCACAAGCAAACTGCTTGAAGATGCGTTGTGAGGCTGGGGCCTGCGCGCCACCCAAGATGCAAGCGATTGCGCGCGGCTCCTGGAAGCCCCCAGCTCCCTCGTCTTGATGTTGGTCTTCGTTCCTCCTTGGCGGCGGCGACAAAGGAGGAAGGCCTGCGTTGCCGTGTGGGCGATCCTCACGAGGCTGATCTCTCCAGCCTCCCTCGCGAGGCTGGTCCTGCCAGCGATCCTCGCGAGGTCGGTCACGCCACCCTTGGCGAGGGCCACGGTCTTCCCATCGTCCGCCACCTCTTCCTCCTCCTCGGCCATAGCCCCTATCGTTGTGCTCGGGGCATCGGCCGACACGTCCATCTCTCACGGCCATGAGCTCTTGACATTCATTGGTGTTGTGGGTGTGGAGGTCGTGGTACACGCAGTACCGGCTGCCCTTGGATGACTCAGGATGATCCCTGCCTCGCTTGGTGTCTAGTTCTGCTGCAAGCACGACAGCCCCCTTGCGCTTCACATCCTTGGCCTTGGGCTTCTTCTCTTCTGGGTCGGCAGCCGGGAGTTCGCGGAGGGAAAGGCATCCTTCCTCAGCCCTGGCGCACTTGGTCGCCAAGTTGAACAACTCCAGGGATGTGCATAGGTCTTCATGGATTGCTAGCTCCTCCTTTATCTTGATGTCGCGTACGCCATCGGAGAAGGCCGAGATGATGGCTTCTTCAGTCACCTTGGGCATCTTGAGGCGAGCATTGTTGAAGCGCTGGATGTATTTCTGCAGGGTTTCCCCTTGCTGCTGCTTGATGCGGCGCAGATCACTCACGGCCGGGGGTTGGTCGCAAGTGCCCTGGAAGTTGAAGATGAAGCGAGTGCGCATCTCATCCCAGGAGGAGATTGTGCTAGGAGCCAGGTTCAGGAGCCAGGTATGGGCCCCGTCCTTGAGCGCCATGGGGAACCAGTTCACCATGACCCTTTCGTCTCTGTTGGCGGCTTCGATGCATAGCTCGTAGAGCTGTAGGAACTCCGCGGGGTCCGCCGTGCCATCGTAGCGAGGGGGCAGGTCAGGCTTGAACTTGCCTGGCCATGCGACGCCGCGTAGCTCGGGGGTGAGGGCACGGCAGCCTGCTGTGGCCACCGGCGCCTTTTGCTGGTGCTGGGCTTGTTCCTGGGGATTATCGCGCGCTGCCGCTTGGAGCAGCGTGGGGTCTTGGCGTGGAGGTGTAGGGATGCGATCTTGGCGCGCCGGCGCTGGGAGCGCGCGAACACCTTCTTGGGGACGAGGGATCTATTGGCAGCTCCTTTCTTGCTGCGCAGGCACCGGACACGAAGGGTCTCGCCCTGGGGCTGCGCGCCTTGTAGCCAGGGTGCCTTCTTGGGGAGGAGGTGGTGGAGGCACCTCCTGATTCTCGCTTCCTGTGCGGAATGGAGGGCGAGGCAGCGAGAAGGACGGCATGGGGGAGCCCCCTGCGGCGCTGACGAGCTCGGTGATGCGGGCGAGCCAGTCCTCATAGAGGTCGTGGACGGGGCGGTAGTGCAAGAGCTCTCTTGCCAGGAGCAGCGCGGCGTGTGTGTCCGTGGGGGTGCGACGGGCATGGGACGATGAAGCGGCTGGAGTTAGCGACGGTGTGGCGGTGCGGCCCTCCCGCCGTACCGAAGGATGCTGGGACGAGGCCTGCTGCTCGTTCCCCGCCGGGCCGGTGGCGGTGTTGGCGGCAGGCGACGGGGAACGACGAGGGCATCCGCCGACGGGCGCCGTCTGGGCGACGCGGGTAGCGAGAGCAGCCCGGCGCTCAGCGCGAGCCCGATGAGCGTCAGCCATGGACTCGACGGAAGATCGCACGTGAACAGCGGAAGAAAGATTCCGGCGCACCCCTACCTGGCGCGCCGAATGTCAGATTTCGTGTTCCGGCAGACCCTTGAGGTTCGAACACTGGGGTGCGCGTGGAGATCTCTCCCCTACCGATCTACGTCCAATCTCCTCGCGTGATCTAAGCTGGAAACAACGAACAACAGAAGGGACACGAGGTTTATACTGGCTCGGGCCACCGTTGTGGTGTAATACCCTACTCTAGTGTGTGGTGTGGTGGATTGCCTCAGGGGCTGGTGATGAACAGTACAAAGGAAGAACAGCCTCGGGAGAGGTGTTCTTGAGCTGGTGCGATGAACTGCTTTGGTGAGTTCAGTCGCCTCTCTCTCTCTCTCTGCTAGGGCTCTATCAGATTGCTAGATGTCCCTCTCCTAGATCGTTGTCTGGATCTTGGATGTCCCCTCTAGATCGTTGTCTTGATCTCCGGATCCCCCTACTCTGTGGTGGCTAGCTCTATTTATAGAGGCCCTGGGCCTCTCCCCAAATAATGAGCGGGAAGGGCGCCAACAATTGGCCATTTTGAAGGGGAACATCTAGTACAAGTTATCCTGACCAAAGGTGGTCTTCGGCTGCCAAAAGCACTGGTGATGACGCCGTCTTGGGCTCAACGGTGACCTCTATCCTGCTGCTCTGCTGGTCTTGGTCTCGTTGCACCAGAATGGTAACCTTTGCCCGATGCCTTGGCATGTGCTTGCCCCCTTTGCATCAAAGGGGAAACAAGGACACTACGCAGGCCGGCGCCCGCCTGGCGCCCGCCTGGTCTCGAACGTCATGGCTTGCGTCACGGGCTCCTCGCGAGGTACCCCTGCCTTGATCTCTCCGCCTCCTCACGAGCCTTCCTGATGAGGCTGCCTCTGAGGAAGCTTCCTATCGTCCGCCCCGCGAGGCTTGGCCCCTCGCGAGGGTCTTGAGCTTGAGCTGATGAAGATGGGCCACACTGGGCCCCCACTTGAGCCACGCCGCAGGCCACATGCAGGCAAGTCTGGGGACCCCTGTTCCCAGAACGCCGACATTCTCCCCCTCTTATTCTAGCATTCTGCAGTTAGTCCAAAGATACTACCCCTTTCATTGATACCGGTGCATAAGTAGTGTAGATCCTTGCTTGCGAGTACTTTGGATGAGTACTCATGGTAGCTTTGCTACTCCTTTTCCCCCTTCTATCTTATTTCCGGTTGTTGCAACCAGATGATGAAGTCCAGGAGCCAGATGTCACCACCAACGCTTACTACTACCCTGAGGGTGCCTACTACTATGTGATGACCACTGACGACCAGGAGTAGTTAGGAGGCTCCAAGGCAGGAGGCCTTGCCTTTTCGATCATTGTTGCTTTTGTGCTAGCCTTCTTAAGGCAGACTTGTTTAACTTATGTCTGTACTCAGATATTGTTGCTTCCGCTGACTCTTGTGTATTCGAGCTTATGTATTCGAGCCCTCGAGGCCCTGGCTTGTAATATAAAGCTTGTATTATTTTAATTTGTGTCTAGAGTTGTGTTGTGGTATCTTCCCGTGAGTCCTTGATGTTGATCGTACACATTTGCGTGTATGATTAGTGTATGATTGAATCGAGGGCGTCACACTCCCGTTCCCCATGACACCGTCCTCGTTCATCGCGTGCTCCAGCCGCCGCCCTTGCTCATCGTTGGCGCTGACTAGTAGCCCAGCCCTTGTGCTCGATTTGGTGGCTTGTAGCCCAATCTTGCGGCCTCCCATAAGTCGATGCCGTGTTTGTGGTCGTTGGAGGCGACCCGCCTGCCGCCGCTGACATGGCTGGCCTGGGGCCCACCCCTGGGTCAATCCCAGTGGGTCCTAGGGACCTAGTAGACCAAGTTGACCTGGTCAACTGTGTCGACTGGACTTGGTGCAGTCACTAACATGCGGGCTGAGGTCCTTCTGGTTCCCGCACCTCCGGTAACCAGTGACCGCCGGCTAGCGACCCATCCCACAAAGGAGCCCCGCCAGGATCTCCGAGCCGCAGCAACGCCCTCGTTTCGTCTCCCTCTCCTCTCCTGCACTTCGTTCCCGGCGCCGGAAAACTGCAGTCGCGGCATGGCCTTCCTCCTCCCACGCCCTGCTTCTCGTCGGTGACCACGACCAGCCCCGACCACCTGTGACCCTGCCTTCACTAAACGTCCCCGGACCGGAGCAATTTTGAACTGCCAAGTACCCTTGGATTCGTCAAGACCGCCAAGTACCATGACCCGCAAGACCAACAATGCCCGAACGAGTGCTCCCGACCGAGACAGTTGTGCTGCTATGTTTTGGACACGCCAAGTCCCTCGGGTCAGACGTGTCAAGACCGCCCCGGCTTTTGTGAAGTTCCACGACGCCGGGAGTCCTCGGATCCGTCAAGTTCCACTACGAGATGTACAACTACCGTCGACCCCGAAGACCTCGGATTCACCAAGTTCCCACGATGACTTGAGTGTACCCCGTCGAATCGCCAAGTTCGGTTACTGTCGCAACCATGTAAAACTACTTCTATGATGATATGAGAACGACTACCGCTGTTGAAGGCCGTTGAGTGAACAAACTACCGATGAAGTGTATGACTACTTCGTGAACGTGTACCACTACCGGCGTGGACCGATAGTACCACTACTTCTACTACCACCGCGGAATGACTACTTCCTCTACTCCCCTCGACGAACCCGAACCGTCCCGTTTGCACGCTTGGAAGGTATAACCCCGAGACGATGCTCGTGTTTGCGTCATGCCCGAATTGATCCTTGCACGTTCCTCGTTTTCCTTGTCGTCGTCATGTGGGACACTCGGTAACCGGGATCACCCCTCTATCTCTAGCATGTCCCACACACTTTCTTTCGCACCGACGTCTCAATGAGTTGTCGGAACCGGAACGTTGCCGTGGCACCGTTTCGTTATCACCGCCGTGGCACCCCTTTGTTTCCGCCACAATGACAAATGCCTCATATCTTATCATGCCAACATTTTCATAAAAATTGCATAAACTTACATATGTCATTTGCATCATGTTAACAACATCAAGAATGTTTAAAATTGTTGTTTGCATTAATTTTCAAAATGCATATGGGGATTTATCGGATTTGTTGTTTGCTATATCCGGCCCCATTTAAATTGTTTAGATAGATAATTCCTTTATGTTTCACCTCTTGACATGCTTAACAACATTTAATATTGTTGGGTACATAAACGAGATCGAACTAAATAGTCAAATGTGGTGTTTCGTCAATATGCAACTCGTTGCATATTGTGCTCCACTTAATTTGTAGGATTGTTTGTGCACTTTGCCATGCCATGCTTCATTAAACCAGGCATGCATCATACTTGTTTGTGCATCGTGCCATGCTTATGTGATATTTGTTTACTATGTTGTGTGCTTCTTTCCGGTGTTGCTTCTTCGGGTTGGTTCCGGTAACATCACGTTTGTGAGGAACCGTTCGACTACGTCCGTTTGTCTTCTTCATGGACTCGTTCTTCTTCCTTGTGGGATTTCAGGCAAGATGACCATACCCTCGAAATCACTTCTATCTTTGCTTGCTAGTTGCCCGCTCTTTTGCTATGCCTATGTTGCGATACCTACCACTTGCTTATCATGCCTCCCATGTTGTTAAACCAAGCCTCTAACCACCTTGTCCTAGCAAACCGTCGTTTGGCTATGTTACCGCTTTGCTCAGCCCCTCTTATAGCGTTGTTAGTCGCAGGTGAAGATTGGAGTTTGTTCCATGTTGGAACATGGATATTTTGTTGGGATATCACAATACCTCTTATCTAATTAATGCATCTATATACTTGGTAAAGGGTGGAAGGCTCGGCCTTATGCCTGGCGTTTTGTTCCACTCTTGTCGCCCTAGTTTCCGCCATATCGGTGTTATGTTCCCGGATTTTGCGTTCCTTATGCGGTTGGGTTATAATGGGAACCCCTTGACAGTTTGCTTTCAATAAAACATCCTCCAGCAAGGCCCAGCCTTGTTGTTACCATTCTCCACCTAGCCTTTTTCCCTTGGGTTAGGCCAGCCCAAGGGTCATCTTTATTTTAAACCCCCGGGCCAATGCTTGTATAAGTGTTAGTCCAAACTAGAGCCCCTTGCAGCGCCACCTTGGGGAAACTCGAGGGCTGGTTTTAGTTGTACGGATTGCTTATCCGGTGTTGCCCTGAGAACGAGATATGTGCAGCTCCTATCAGGATGTCGGCGCATCGGGCGGTCTTGCTGGACTTGTTTTACCATTGTCGAGGATGTCTTGTAACCTGGATGTCGAGTCTGATCGGAATGTCTTGGGAGAAGGAATATCCTTCGTTGACCGTGAGAGCTTGTGATGGGCTAAGTTGGGACACCCCTGCAGGGATTTGAACTTTCGAAAGTCGTGCCCGCGGTTATGGGCAGATGGGAATTTGTTAATGTCCGGTTGTAGAAAACCTGAAGTTGACCTTAATTAAAATACATCAACCGCGTGTGTAACCGTGATGGTCTCTTCTCGGCGGAGTCCGGGAAGTGAACACGGTGTTGGAGTTATGTTTGACGTAGGTTGTTTTAGGATCACTTCTTGATCATAGTTTCTCGACCGTGCTTTTGCCTTCTCTTCTCGCTCTCATTTGCGTATGTTAGCCACCAAGTATGCTAGTCACTTGCTGCAGCTTCACCTCATACCTTTTACCCTACATATAAGCTTAAATAGTCTTGATCGCGAGGATGTGAGATTGCTGAGTCCCCGTGACTCACAGATACTTCCAAAACCAATTTGCAGGTGCCGATGTTATTGAGCAGGTGACGCAACCGAGCTCAAGGAGGAGCTCGATGAAGATCGTGTTCATTATGTTGTTCCGTTTTCAGTTGATCAGTAGTGGAGCCCAGTCGGGACGATCGGGGGTCTGTGTAGCTTTTGGGGTAGTCTTCTTTATTTTGGTTCCGTAGTCGGACCTTGTTTGTATTTGGATGTTGTAATGCTTTATTCATGTATTGTGTGAAGTGGCGATTGTAAGCCAACTATGTATCTTTTTCCCTTATGTATTACATGGGTTATGTGAAGATTACCTCACTTGCGACATTGCTTTCAATGCGGTTATGCCTCTAAGTCGTGCTTCGACACGTGGGAGATATAGCCGCATCGAGGGCGTTACAAGATGGTGATACAAGTGGTATATGGATGGTAGATAAAGGTATTTGTAATCTGAAATTATAAAAACAGCAAGGTAACTAATTGTAAAAGTGGGCGTAAACGGTATTGCAATACGTTGAAACAAGGCCTAGGGTTCATACTTTCGCTAGTGCAAGTTCCCTCAACAATACTAACATAATTGGATCACATAACTATCCCTCAACATCCAACAAAGAGTCACTCCGAAGTCACTAATAGCGGAGAACGAACGAAGAGATTATGGTAGGGTACGAAACCACCTCAAAGTTATTCTTTCCAATCAATCCATTGGGCTATTCCTATAAGTGTCACAAACAGCCCTAGAGTTCGTACTAGAATAACACCTAAAGACACAAATCAATCAAAACCCTAATGTCACCTACATACTCCAATGTCACCTCAAGTATCCGTGGGTATGATTATACGATATGCATCACACAATCTCAGATTCATCTATTCAACCAACACAAAGGACCTCAAAGAGTGCCCCAAAGTTTCTACCGGAGAATCACGACGAAAACGTGTGCCAACCCCTATGCATAGGTTCATGGGCGGAACCCGCAAGTTGATCACCAAAACATACATCAAGTGAATCACATGATATCCCATTGTCACCACAGATATCCACGGCAAGACATACATCAAGTGTTCTCAAATATTTAAAGACTCAATCCGATAAGATAACTCCAAAGGGAAAACTCAATTCATTACAAGAGAGAAGAGGGGGAGGAGAAACATAGGATCCAACTATAATAGCAAAGCTCGTGATACATCAAGATCGTATCACCTCAAGAACATGAGAGAGAGAGAGAGAGAGAGATCAAATGCATAGCTATTGGTACATACCCTCAGCCCCGAGGGAGAACTACTCCCTCCTCGTCATGGAGAGCACCGGGATGATGAAGATGGCCACCGGAGAGGGATTGCCCCCTCCGGCAGGGTGCCGGAACTTTTCGGTGGCTACGGAGGCTTCTGGCGGCGGAACTCCCGATCTATTGTGCTCACGGATGTTTTTAGGGTATATGGAGATATATAGGCGGAAGAAGTACGTCAGGGGGGCCACGAGGGGCTCACAAGGGTGGAGGGCGCGCCCAGGGGGGTGGGCGCGCCCCCCTGCCTCGTGACCTCCTCGCAGATCCCCCGACGTGCACTCCAAGTCTTCTGGGCTTCTTTCCTTCCAAAAACGAGTTCCGTGAAGTTTCAGATCAATTGGACTCCGTTTGATTTTCCTTTTCTTCAAAACCCTAAAACAGGGTAAAAACAGAAACTGGCACTGGGCTCAGGGTTAATAGGTTAGTCCCAAAAATGATATAAAAGTGTATAATAAAGCCCATAAACATTCAAAACAGTAAATAGTATAGCATGGAGCAATCAAAAATTATAGATACGTTGGAGACGTATCAGCATCCCCAAGCTTAATTCCTGCTCGTCCTCGACTAGGTAAATGATAAAAGAAATAATTTTTGATGTGGAATGCTAGTTGGCATAATTTCAATGCAATTCTTCTTAATTGTGGCATGAATATTCAGATCCATAAGATTCAAGACAAAAGTTTAATATTGACATAGAAACAATAATACTTCAAGCATACTAACTAAGCAATTATGTCTTCTCAAAATAACATGGCTAAAGAAAGCTATCCCTACAAAATCATATAGTCTGGCTATGCTATGTCTTCACCACACAAAGTATTTAAATCATGCACAACCCCGATGACAAGCCAAGCAATTGTTTCATACTTTTGATATTCTCAAACTTTTTCAATCTTCACGCAATATATGAGCGTGGGCCATGGATATAGCACTATAGGTGGAATAGAATGGTGGTTGTGGAGAAGACAAAAAGGAGAAGATAGTCTCACATCGACTAGGCGTATCAACGGGCTATGGAGATGCCCATCGATAGATATCAATGTGAGTGAGTAGGGATTGCCATGAAACGGATGCACTAGAGCTATAAGTATATGAAAGCTCAACAAAAGAAACTAGTGGGTGTGCATCCAACTTGCTTGCTCACGAAGACCTAGGTCATTTTGAGGAAGCCCATCATTGGAATATACAAGCCAAGTTCTATAATGAAATATTCCCACTAGTATATGAAAGTGACAACATAGGAGACTCTCTATCATGAAGAACATGGTGCTACTTTGAAGCACAAGTGTGGTAAAAGGATAGTAGCATTTCCCCTTCTCTCTTTTTCTCTCATTTTTTATTTTTTTATTTGGGCCTTCTCTTTTTTATGGCCTCTTTTTTCTCTTTTTTTATTTGGGCTTCTTTGGCCTCTTTTATATTATTTTTATTTTCGTCCGGAGTCTCATCCCGACTTGTGGGGGAATCATAGTCTCCATCATCCTTTCCTCACTGGGACAATGC